TTACGGCTTCGTCTTGAATGTTAACATTGTTGATCTTTTCCTCGAAAGTGATTAATGACGTTCTCATTAACGATTCCCATAAGAATGTTTCTGCTGAAATCGTTAAAGTAATGATCATTAAAGTAACGACAGAATGTCCTCACTTCAGAAATACTCAACAGAAGCTTTTAACCGGATGGAAGATACAAAAATCCATACTGCAATAAACAAAATTATAGAGTTTATAAAGGAACAAAACATATATTTGGATTTAATCCGGAATTTTTCTATTATCAAGTTGGCTTATGTGTCATTTATCGCAATCAGATCTGTTTACAATGTAGACAGTGTGAAGAAAGTCAAAGGTAATCCAGTACTATGGCTAACTAAATTTTTCGGGACGAAAATCGTGCCAGAACTTTATAGAATGAGGGTTCGCCGACCCATCTTCAGTCTTATTTTTGTCTCCTCCTTTCTTTCAAGCTGCAGAGTCAACGCCAAGGAAGATAAGAAACTGTAACCCTGCCAACCAGTCATAGAATAAATTTTATGTTTCTTCACACAAAGAACTTTCGTAGAGTTAATTGTATAATTGCTTTGTTATAAATTCCAAAACGCCCTTATACAAGAATATAATGAGCAACTCCGGGTTTCATAAGCTTAAACTATAAAACCAGATGTTAATTAGGGCTCCAAGTAAAATTATGAATATGAAATGATAATATGAAATATTAGTTGATGTTAAGACCTTTCGTATAAGATTATTTATTAAAATTTAGCGGAATTATAAAGAGCTTCTCATAGAAATTTATATATATATATATATATTTTTAAAAACGAAAGGACCAACCAGCATTTTTATCTTTTCATTAATCTACCAAAAAATTAGAAAAAAAACAACAACAGTAATTAAACAATTATCGAAGACATTATCTCTCTATTGGGTTTATCGCTAGAAAAACTAGAATAGTGACACCGAGACAAAGCATTCGTCATCGTCCACGTTCCTCGCTTGGTTTGTCAGGACAGGAAAAAAATAAATAAATATATCCTGCTGCTCTTCTCTGTTAAAATTATCTTATCGAAGGGGAAACAAAAGCTGCCAATGAAACAAAATGTGCAAGAAAAGCATCGAATAAAAAAAATCGAGTTGAATGAAGTGAAATTTCGATTAAGAATTAATTGAGGAAAGACGTTGAAAATCTTTAATAATAATAATAATAATAGAAATAATATTTGCTATGGGGGAATTTCTACTGCAAAATTATTGCTCAAGTTACTTCCATCCAAAAATTTTCACAATTTTAGACACGAACGAAGAAAATGGAGTGCTTTTAAGCAATATTAAACATGACTAGGAATTGACAAACAGATGCAAATTAAAATTGTATTCAGGACAAAGAAAATTGTCATTTAATGATTTAGATATTAGTAATTATCTTTAAAGTTACTTAATAATAGGCATGTTATTTAATAAGTTTCAATAATTTTGTCAATATATTTTGAATTGCATGGAAAAATTTCTTAAAAAAATGTCCGACATCATATTGCATCCTTTCAAAAGAATCGTAAAACAGAATATTACACATACATAAAACTTTGCTTTATTATATTATACACTGTAACTCATTACCTGTATAATATTTAATAAGTTAATTCTAATAAAATATATTTAAAAATAATTCATTTCATTAAAATAAACTGAAATCGCAGGCTTTATATTGTATATTTATCTACGGATAAACTAAATGAATAGTTAAACTTTATTCAATTAATCAAATAGTAAAATTGGAATATCTAATTTTCGTTAAACTCTCATTTAATATGTTTAGATCAATTCCCCATGTTACAATAATTTCAAAATGGAGTAGACTATCTAAAATTGATAATGCATCCTGTTTTAATCGAAAACAATTCTGTCAGCCATATTATATCTTATCATATACAGTTAAGAACGTAAAAATGCAATAACACAAATTAATTTACATGCAATTATTATCATTTTATCTATTTAAAATAAGCATTTTATTTTTTTTTTGTTATACAAGATAAAGTATCAACATTTTCAAATTGTGGTAATTAATTTTTTTTTAATTAGATATAATTCTCCTTACTATTTGGCAGTGATCGCTCGGATAATTTTACACACACAGTGTAACTGGCCTTAAGACAATTATCTGAGGCAAAACAAACAAATCAATTGATGCGACGAGAAACACTACAGGTTCTCTCTTATTCTGTGCAGTGAAGACATTGACATTCCGTTTAGCGATTAGTAAATGATCTTTTATTATTCAGGAAAAGAAAATTCGCTACTTTTATAAGGGGAAAACTAGAATTAATTTGAGATGGAACACCTGAATTGATTCAACACTAAGCTATGACTAATTTAATGTTATGTGAGACTTTATTTTCAATTCTATTTAGGGTCTTGTTGTTTATCAAAATTAACCATTTAAAATCCATTATATCGAATAAATTTATCAATTAAATTTCACATTAGATGACATAGATGTTTACAAAATTGTTTGTACGAACGTTCTAAAAACCTAACTCGATAACAGGCCTATAATCAATATTTCATAATGCTTCTTTGTTATTTATTTAAGATTATAATTTTAATTTTATCAATATTTATCATAAAATATCTATTTTAAGAAGGTTAAATAAGATTATATTAGGAAAAACATTCTAGAGACATATTATATTCTTCGTTTTAATGTCGTCTCTTTCATAGTTTTTCGAGTAAAATATGACGAAAATTATCAGTTATATTTTTAGAAATTATGTTAGTTTATTAGTTTGAATTTTTATAAGTTAAATAAATGCCGTAGGCGAACGATATCATTATCTTTAAAGTGCTGCAGACTAAAGGACAGAGCTATTTTTGAGACTGTAGTGTAGTGCAGACAGAATTGTAGACCAGTTATCAGTATCATAACAGATTTTAAATATTTAAATAAGCAGAATTTTGTGAATCTTTAAATAAAGATGGAAAGACGTACAATAAAAATAAAGAATTTAATAGAGTAATTTCCTTATATTTTATATATTCTGAAATTTTCTGTTATATTAAATGTCAGAGCTGGATTTAGATTTGTTGTGGCCCTACGGTACATCACACGAGGCCCTTCATCAAATAACAATGGCATTATATTGCCCATTATTATTTGGCGAAGGAGGAAGGGCCTATTATATAGAACAACACCCAAAGCTATAGCTTATACTGTATAAACCTAACTCTGTTTAACATTTTCTATCTGTTATAATTAGTGAGAAAGGTTTTGTGCTGTTAGTCTTAGAAATAGTTCTAGCTACATATGCATAGTAGTATATTTAATTTTACTGTTAATTATATAAATATTATAAAATGGCAATATTTTATAATTTTCTTAAAATCAAAACTTTACACGTTTCCAGAGATGTTCTTTAAATAATATTGAATATATTCTTCGCTCATATTATACATCAGAGTGACTTTTTTGACATTTTCTAAAATCAATGGCTTTACTTCTTAACTAAAACGTCTTTGTAAATTATCTGTGTGGAGCATTTATTAATATATTACAGGATGATCTTCATTCTAATTCATTAATCATTGTAATTACAGTAATTCGTATATAAAACCTCATTTTTCACGTACAGATCATTTCTCAGATTGTCACCTTCCAAGCTCGTATGCCATTAAATTCAAAAAAAAAATTTTAATTCATTCAATCTCTCACGGCATATGCCAACACAGTTTCTAAATTATTACTAAATTTATCGATTTTATATATTTATCCGCACATATATATATATAAAATATATAAAACAAAAGGATAATTAATAGTATGATCCAACTTTTAACATAATTCAAATGTGTACCTAAAGCAGTGTGAAAGACAATGTAAAGTATATTTTATTTTAAAAAGTTATTAGTTTTAATTAATTTCCATATAACAATTCAAATTTTACTTATAAAAATTGAAAATATTCATTCTAATAGACTCAAAAAACTTAAACAGAGCCTACTTTACACATGTTATTTATGTGAAGATCAATTATTTGTGTCTACTAGAATGAATACTTTTGCTTAGATTATCTGAATTATGTTATAAATTCTATAAGTAAACACAAGTTATTATCATTATATTACTTGAATACTAACTTATGATGATAATATTTGTGCCAGTTTATGGAATTCAGGGGCACTCGCCTGGGGCCCTGCACTTTCAGGTGGCCCACCATGCATCAAAACAAAGAAAATAAGAAAAGGAGGCCCTAATACTATAAAACAATTTATATGCATAAAATAGGTGAATGTAAGTTGTTTGAGTGTATTAAAATGATTATTATTATATTATAGATTAAACTAATTTATATTTATTACATATTATATAAGTTAGCACATAAGTTAACATTATTATATTACTTAAATAGTAACATGATGTTAATTTATGTGCTAGCTATGTGCTAACTAAAAGAAAATACTTATTCTAAATTACAATTTATCAGTAAATCAATATTTATTAAGTTAAAAATAAGTTTCCTAAAATTATAATATATTATTTCAACATTTATAGGACAAACATTATAAAAGGATTTTATCGCATTAACCTAAATAATAACTCACTTTTTATATTATTTTTCATTCATAATATATATATATTATATTTAAAAATTAAAAAATAAATAATATAATGTACTACTTTCACAAAGAGTAATGTATGGAGAACTTCATGAAACTTTCTCATTAAAGGAAGACAATTTTAAATTAATTAATTGTATGAATACTGTATATCCAAGTGCTAATTAATGTGTGTACATTTTAATCAGCATTCGAATATATTCATATAATATTTTAATTAAATTATTTCTAGTAAAAAAGAAAAAAAAAAAAATTGCATATTGAATGACAGTGAGACAATTTCAAGTTTATGTTATGGAAATAATTTAAAAAGTTGTAATATTTGTTCTTTGAATTTGGGTTGAACTTGTTTAAGTTTTCTTCTTATTTATGCCTTATGAATTAATTGTAATTTAATTAAAAAAAAGCGAATGTTTTTATTTATTCAGTAACAATTTGTTATATAAATTTACAAATTAAGTTCATTTTTTAAAGTAACACGAAGCAAATTTTAATGGTAAATAATGAAAGCCTCCTCCTTCCCATATACAATTGAATTAAACTTTATTAGAGTTTATATTGTTATTTTACAGATAAAATGCAGTGTTTTTTTTTTGTTTTAATAACATAGTGTGGTCCATAAGTCAGTTAACTCTTATTCAACTACGGTCGAGTCCGCATAAGTCGACACTCCAAGGGGAAGTGGAAATGTGTCGAGTTATCCGACATGACGACTAAAACAAAGTTGAAAAAAAAAAAAACCACAAATATACATTTAGGAAAACACAACAGTGGTTTATACAGTACAATAGGCTTACAATACATTGTGTACTCCATTTACAATAACGTTGTAGATGATAAAATGAAAAATTCGTTTAGTATTATTTGTTTTGAGCACTTATTTAACTGTTTCAACTTTATTTTCAACAATCATGAACGCCTTGAAAACATCATCTTCGCAATTGTCAATTGTTGGCAAGTAACATCTAAGGATTCTTAATGCCTCTAGCGCGTCGTTTTTGGTTGGTTTTGGGAATAGCTCTTCTAGTGTTTCATTCTCTTCACCTCCAGATTCGTTATTCTCGTCCTGAATTTCTGCGATAATATCAGCAACACTCGCTGAGTAACACACCTCCACGCAATCGTCCACTGTGCTGTAGTCTATTTCATCAACAGAGGCAGTTTCACGTAGATCGTGGCAACGTCGCAACAGTTCATCCAATTGGACGTTCTGTTCTTCACCCTTATCTTCATTTTGAACTGCCACTGTAGAACGAAATCCTGCACGTTTAAAGCAGTTTGCAATGGTTAAGCACGTTACGTTTTCCCATGCAAACTTTACGTAATGAATCGCATCTAACAGGGAAATGTCAGTCGATTTTTCGCTTTCTACCGCATGAATCAAATTCAAAATAAGCTTCTTCCGATAATGACGTTTGAACGAATGAATAATACCCTGATTCAGCGGTTGAACTACAGAAGTGGCATTCGGCGGTAGAAAAAACACATTAATCGCTTGTAGTCCTTCAACGTATCCATGGGCAGGACAGTTGTCAACAACGAATGCTACGTTCCTTTTTTGCTTAACAAATTGGGAGTCGTATTTGTGAAGAATTTCCTCCCAAATTTTGGAAGTCATCCAACTTTTCGAATTTGCCTTGTATATGACGGGCAAACTCTTCACTCCGTTGAAACATCGGGGCTGTCGAAATTTTCCTATAACCAAGGGTTTCAGTTTTTCAGAGCCATCAGAATTTGCTCCTAGAAGGATTGTAACACGCAGCTTTGATTTGCATCCGCCGTGGCAACTCTCGTTTTTAAACATAGCGGTTTTCTCCGGAAGCAATTTGTAGAAAAGTCCCGTTTCATCAAGATTGAAAACGTTTTCCGGTTTATACGATTTCTCAATCTCTTGTAAAACTGTCTCTTTCCAAGTTCCAACTGAGGTCATATCGACAGATTCTTTTTCTCCACACAGTTTTTTAAAAGTCACGCCGTGGCGACCTTTAAATCTCTCTAACCACCCATCACTGGCACTAAAGTTTGTTTCTACTCCAAGTACCCCAGCGATTTCCATTGCTTTTTGTTTCAGTATCGGCCCTGAAACAGGAAGATTCGATGAACGAGTTTGCTTTAGCCAACGTACCAGAGCATCTTCGACATCTTTGTACAGCGACTTTCTCTGGCGTTTTCGAGACATTCGCGACGAAGACCCAAGAAAAAGTTTCTTAATTTCCTCTTTTTTCTTCAGGATTCCCACCAATGTTGTTCTTGGAAGGTTTTTTTGTTTTGCAAATTCGGCTTGCGAAGTTTTATTACATTCAAATTCAGATACAAGTTCGTATTTTTCCTTCAGAGTAAGCGTTGTTAGCTTTCGGGCACTCATTTCTAACAGAAATGCTGCAAATAACGCATGAACGAAAGGTGAGAAAATGCAAAATCGGATTCTGCTGCGACGTTAAGCTGTATGGTGTGAACTCATTTTTTTCCAAGAGGGGAGTCGACTTATCAGACGTCTAGACGAGTGAAGAACAGAAAAAGTATGTCGATTTATCCAGTGGTGACGAGTTAAACAGTGTCCAGTAAACCAGAGTTTTTTTAACGTTAATGCTTATATAAGTCGGCCGGGACCACTACTTAACCGACGGTGTCTAGTTATACGTATGACGAGTTATGCGGACTCGACTGTATTTAAATGCTTAATCATATTTTCCACCAACTGTGTGTTCTAAATTAGGTTTACAACTGATATCTACACTCGAAGATAAAACACGGTTAACCGATTTTTGGGCCTTATATATATCCTACAGAATATGCTAAATTTATATTTTATAAACCAGATTTATGAATTAATATATTAAAAATGCACTTGTAAGATGTCTTTAATATCATATTTTAATTAGAAAACTTTATATGAATTGAAAATAATTTAATAATATTATAATATAATATCAAATAGAAATTTTAACATTTTTTCCCCCTTGAATTTATTAAAAATTTACTAAATATTCTTTCATAATATATAAAAATATTTAAAAAATTATACAATTGCTATTATAATATTGTTGATAAATCGAATTCTTAACCAGAACAGACTTAATCCTATATGCTTATTGGTGAGATATTTTATTAACGCAATTGTATAAGCATTAAGTCTTATGAAAGGATCATAAAACATGAGAATTATGAGAGTAGTTGCGTGTTTCTTCACGACAGTTTTGAAACGGATAAACGGAATTATAGGGACATAAAAACCGAAATTTAAATAGCATTTTCATTTTTCAAGACTTTAAGAATTCCATCTTATTTTAAATTTTTAAAATTTCGAGGAATCTACGGAATCGCATCCATCAAACTGTCCAATTTATTCTATAAATTGCACCTTTATGAATTATAAGTGCAAAAAATGCTGAATTAATTATAATAAAGAACCAAGAATTCTAGTAACGTTCCTGATAAGCAGACTGAGCCTAGACAACAGTCCTTTTATCAGCAACAGTTCAAAGACCCAAAGAATACCCTTCATATTTATCTATTAAATGGCACAGTTTCAGATAAAATTTATAATTGACAAAAGAAAAAAAAAAGTGCTTCACCGTTAAGAATAAAAAGATTTACGCCATTCGCATAGATAAGGATTTCGTGCAGCTCATCAAAACAAGCTCTTGCAACGATTTAATAAATCAATTTTTCTCTACTTGCCGTAGTAAAATGCATTGGTGAGTTGTGGAAGGTTGTAAAACTTTATTACCAAACAGAGGAATTTTGTTCCCCTTAAAAGCAGGAATTTCTTATTAAAATTCAAGCTTAAACTTGTCTCCATTGCAACGCCTAGTTATGGGCTAGACCAAAAAAAAAAAAAAAACTCGTTTTGAATTCGTGTGAAGCGAATAGGGAGTCGCATCTAGAGAGTAACCTTGAAGAGCCGCTAATAATGATTAAGTCGAGATTTAAAGTTCTTCAGGAAGGCAGACAAGTAAATGACTGGCAAACGAAGCACCTGCTCAGCAACCAGCTGACTAGAAAAACAACATTCCAAGCAGTGGTCACATGACTAGATAGGAAGAAGCTATCAACTAGAGGCGATTCTATCTTCTCTCGTCTGCCATTGGATCTGTTCCATTTCCGGTGCCGCAGGGGAAAGGAAGAAAGAGAAAGGACTGAAGTCTGACTAATGAACATTTGCGGTGTTTCCTAGCAGCTGTCAATTTGGGGACTCGGGTAGGACAAAACTAGGCAAATAAAGGGGCCCAACCCCCGTTTGTTTCTTTTGTGCCGCGAAACGATTGGTGTCACAAAAGAGCTACCGAGTGACAGCTGTGAATCATGACGATATTGCATCCAAGCGAACAACTGCACTCTTTCAATTGCAGATGGGTTAGTTCTACAACGACAACAACGATTTCACACGACTAGCATATACGAATTCTTCCCCCCCTCTAAAAGTTCATCATCTATCAGTACTGTTAAATGTTGCTAGTAATCTTAGTCCTGAAAGTAATTGATGGATGAAGACTTCCTATGGACAGGAAGCCATGTCAATTATAATATATTGAACAATAGCTATAAAAGATATTATCGAATATGACACAATTGAATTAATATATTAGTAAGTTCGTTTTATCTGCTACATTTCCGTACGTAATTTATATTAATAATTTAATGCAGAAAGTTATACTTAAAATCAACTTGCAATCTAATTAAGCAAAAATACGAAGTTTAATTAATTAAGATCAGTCATGTAAATTTAGACTTTACTTATTATACTATAAACCCAAATCGATATTGCTATTATTCGTGTAATAATAAAGTTAAATATGATTTTTCAGTTATTTTTATCAGTTAAAATTGTAAATAAACTCACATAAGTAAATTTCAAGTTCAATTTCATTCAAGAACAAGGTTACAAACTTGTACACAGTTTACATATGCAAAAACACTTGGTTATTTTATATCTTTATTTACATCTTTAATGTATTTTTAACGACATTTAAGGTTCGTGCTCTATATACATTTGAACTTTGTAACAAAATAAATTCAGGTAGGCTTTTATGGGTGGACAAAGAATTTCCAGATCTCCTACTCCATCGTATAAAAAATAAATTATCTAAATTGGAAATTAACCATTAACATTATCTTCCTTTATACATGTATTCAGTAGATATATATTTATTATGTATACAGGGCGTTGAGATTTACGAAAATTCGGTGCCACCCATGATAAACAAGGCTATCTGAAGTGATGAATGTAATTTAAGTATTCTTAGTTATGGACGAAGGGAAAATCCATAATTTATTTAATGATAGGATATTTACTTCATTGTCTCAAAATTTACTAAAATTTTCCTCATCAAAAATCACAGAGCAAGAATTACTCAGAAAGGAGTATACATTGACAACTTTCTTTTTCCTTATATATATATATTATTCCTTTAACGATTAAATATTATAAAATAATAAAAATTTACAGCCCTAAAAAATTTCATATCAAATTTTTTTCGACTCTCGTTTTATAAGTCGTTGAGGCCGATGTTGGTTCTCATAGACCTGTATGCTGCAACACGTATCAACACCTGGCTTATGTCTAGATAATATACTCGTTGAAGGATATAGTTCCGGGAAGGATTGCTGTCGCTACATACCTTATTTTTGCCTGACTAGTTTGTCCTGTTTAAGTTTAGCTATTAATACCGTGATTCTACGCTTCTTATGAAGCGTAGGAAGGACTGTTGAAACAATAGTTTCGCAATCTACTTGTAAATGTACTGTACTTTTTTTCAACGCTATTTTTATCTTATATAGAAGAAGAAGAATTTAGATTTTTAGTCATTACATTATTACTTTATTCATTTTTACGTAGCAAAAATTGCTATTGCTTTTGAACTATAGATTTAAGCTCAACAATTTACAGTGCCAAACTGTGTTTATGGTGCCATACCTTAATTAGAACATCTATCAGTTTTCTTTTTATAATAAAAAAATTGGTTTTTCTTACATTTACGATGTTGTCCAATAAATATTTACTGATATACTAAAGAATAACTCTAAAAATACTCATTCCTTAAACAATATTACAAAAAAAAAAAAAAAACCGAATACAGTCGACCCCCCTATAACACTGTTGATTATTCCGTTTTATATGAATTCCATGTTGTACGAGTCACTTAGATTTTACAAATACGTGAGCTGTTCACAGCCTGGCACGCATATTTATAAAATCTAAGTGACTCGTACAACATGGAATTCATATAAAACAGAATAATCAACAGTGTTATAGGGGGTTGACTGTATAGTACAAAAGGTATGATTTTAGTCAACGGGTCTAATTGGAAAGGAACTTTATAACAAAGGTCAGTCATAAAAATAAATTTAGTTAAATTTGATTCCATTTAATTTAGTCTCGGGTTAAGTCAGATACGGCCTCGTGCTTAGACCTACAACAATACAAGACATGCTCTAGTGGACAGTTCAACATGGTTTGTAGACTGTCCTTTCTTTCGCTAACAGAAGGAAACTATAAAATTTTGTCATCTGCGTAACTAATGATGAGGGCCTGTATCTGAAATTGGATTTCTGGTTTGTTTTTGGCTTCTGTCTCTACATTCAAATCAATCTGATTATATCCGTATGATGAAACTGTCGTATCTAGAAAGAAGCTTAATAAGCGTCATTTATGTTCAAGTTACTTCTTGTCATTATTGAGATTATTCTAAGGCTTCTCTCTTCAATTCTTGCAGAAATTTTTGTATTCACGCATCACTTATTAATGGATATTATTAAATACAAAGTAATTCTCTTAATGTAATGAAAAATATCTTATTATTACGAAGTAGCTTTTTGTAAACAACATTTGATGATAATATAATAGAAACCTTCAACAATTTATTTAACAGAAGAATTTTCAATGTATGTAATTGTCTAGAAAACATTACAATAAACAATTTTCACCATAAAATTCAAATAAAATTTACGATTTTTTAAAGTTTTTTTGAGAAGAAATATAATCGTATAATCTCAAATTTATATTCAAAATTTTAACTAGTCTAATACGATATAACCTGAAAGGTGTTTAATCGCATACAGTAATGCGTTATGGCTTCATGGGGCCCAGGCAAATTTAAATTAGATACCATGCACAGTGTTGACTTCAGACATTTTTCTTCGGGGAAATATTTTATTATAACAGATTGATTTGAGATCCCCAGTTGATGGGGCCCAAGACATTGCCCTTTTTGCCTAAAAAATAACGCACCACTGATCGTACAGTAATATAATTTAATACGGATCAGAAGAGAAACCATACATATAGGTCCAATAGAATTATCATAACTTTTGGACAATAGAAACAGTTTCTGACAGAAAAATCGTGATAAAAATGATTTTTACTATAAAATTAAATGAAATAAACATGTTATAACATTTAATTACTTCGTATGAAATGCAATTAAATATATAATTGTTCAAAAAAACCATATAATGTGAAACAAAACTCGCATTACTTACATAAATATATTTATTCTTATCATGAAGTACCCTTACATTATTCACTAAAATTAACTTACTGTGTTAGCTTTAAAATAAAATAACTTTAAAAAAAAACTATAAATTTCGAGATTTTAAACCAGTTAATTATTTAGACACGGCTGATTTTTGTTTTTGTTTTTTTTTAAATAATTATAAATGAAAATATACCACGTCAAAATTAATAAAATAATATAATTAAAAAAAATTGACGGAAACAAAACGTTCTTCTTGAGAGGATTCTATTTATATACATAAGAAAAAATTATAATAAAAGATCTTTTAAATCAAAGAACAATTCTTTTGGAAATTAATACGCGATAAGTTGGGACGTCCCCATAGCAGCCA